TATACACATATATATTATAACTTTTGTATAATAACAAAACATAAAATGTTGATATAATATAAATGATAAGTCAAAAAAATTTTAAATACTAAATTAAATGAAGACATGGAAAGTGATTCATAGTTGAGATCTAATACTATGTTTTTTTAGCAAAATCATTATAACTAACTTCAAGTAGTTTAATTTACTGGATTGTTTAAGTATTTTATTTTAATTTTATGCTTCGCATTGGGATTGGTTATTGAAGAAGCAATTACAAGTTATTTGAGTAGAAATTTTAGATTTAAGTCGTAATACTTATTTTTGAAGGAAAAAAAAGAGAAGACATGATATTTTTATTTCTACTCTAAAAACAATAAAGTTATCGCACACTTTTAAAAGTTCGAATAGATGACTTGAGTGACTTGGTGGTAGGTGGTATTAAATTCGAATATAAACAAATAAATCAATGTTTTAGTATCAGGGAATTGTAAGACCCTATTTACCTTGAGAAGTTTGGCTTCCACTATTGATCGCACACAGAAACAATTCCAAACGCTTTAGAGAAGTAAATGCTCCAATGGTTCGAAGCAAGTTGGTTTGGAGAAAAGTGAGTCCCAAGCTCAAGTTCTCCAAGTTTGTAAAATTATGCAATTCTATTTAACAAAAGCAATGGATCAATGTGAAAGCCAGAAAGAGTTTCGGCAAGACAAATAATTATAGGAGCAAAGCATATTTTGCACATTCATTATTACTCACTTTCTCTAGTAATTCTTCCGTTGAAGCTAAATCCATACAAGGAAAGAGTCTTCAACGACGAGAATAAGCTCAGTGATTGCAGTGGAAAGCTACACCCGGCACTTATTACACCTATGAATGAAGCAATTAACCAAATGCAAATGTATCTTTTAATACATAAAAAGAGTTTTTTCTCATTGTATTCCACCCTTACAAAGTATAAATTTTCAATAGGAAACTCGTAAATCAAGTTAAATCAAATAGTCTTCCCTGTAGAAGCAAATGTAATCCTCTAATCTCGTGACAAATGACGGTCACAAGAAATGCACAACCCTTGTAAGTTGTATAGTATTTTTATTTTTGAACAGCTAAAATTTCATTGAGAGTAAAAGTTAGAGAAGTGCCATGTCTCTCAAAAGTGTTGATACGAGATATTAATTACTGCTTTAATAAGTGTATAGTTTAATATTTCATTAACATAAATATCAATGAATCAGTGACATTAGAGATTGCTTACATTGAAGAGTTGGTAAAGGTTTTGGCAGCTTTGAATTTAAAATTTTTTAATGCATCTGTTTAGAAATATTAAATTTTATTTTAGAATAGTTAGTTCAAACATGCCCAAATTGATGAAGACACAACCTAGCAATACCTTCGAAGGTCGGACTGTCATAACTGCA